GGTGGATGACTCATTGGAGGATAAAAGAGATTTGGATCAGATCATGCAAGATCGTCGGGCCGCCGAGTTGGAGCTTGATACCGGAGATGCTCGCCTCTCCAATCGCAAGCTTCCTTAACTTCTCCATGACCAAGGTCGGTTTTTCTATAAAATACCCATGTCATTTTCGGGCATGCTTTTTAACCTTTTAGGCCTTTGAAATTGCTTCTATGATACTCACCTTTTTAGGCTTTTGGAATATTGGAATATTATATTATAGACCCATTTCACTGGTAATTTTAGGCCTTCTTGCTCCAATTGTTGATATAATGCTTTAATGACCTCTTTTAGCTTTAGCTAACTCTTTGTCAGTTGAGACTTATTAGTAAAAAGAAGATACAAAGAGAGGTGCTTGTAAATCTAAACATACCTTCTCGAATTCTATGAATTGCCCCATAGTTTGTCTTTCTTTTTTTCTTTTTTTTTTTCAATTGTATATTAAGTATATCATATATGGAGTTTGGATGATATTTGCAGATACAGATGATGAAAACTATAGGCCTTCTAAAAGATCAAGAGCTGATTTCAGGCCTTCGGCTGCAGCAAGAAGCTATGATGACACTGATGGCATGCAGAGTTCACCTGGAAGGTCACAGCAAGGCCACTCGAGGGATGATGTGCCCATGACTGATCCTATTATGGCTATGAGGTTCAGAGTTCAGACCTTACCTAATTGCTTTGCCACTTCAGATATTGTATCTAACTTTCCTTATTATTTTTAGGATGAAGATGATCAAGGTGACTTTGAGATGTACCAACATTGAGGGAGTGGGTTACTAGAGATGAAGTGCGTCGCTTCATTTTCAAAAAGTTCTATGTGAACTCAAAGAATGCACATGGTGACATTGAATATGTATGCCTCATATATGAGACGGTAGCAGGTAAAGGCAGTACTCTAACTCATGGATAGAGAGGTAAACTTGCTTCACATCCGTCTCTAGAACCCTTAATTCTTAATATGTTATGTTATCTATTTTTCAATCTTATTATTTATAAAATATATATTTTCCTTTTTTTTACCTTATAATTATTTGAGGACATGGCCTAGATGCGGACAAGTCTTGCCTTCTCTAGGATTGGTGTGAATTAATCTCGATGTCAAAGATTAATATGAACTTCTCTTTGAATTGCTTGGATGAGTTCAGCGAGAACTTTTTTCTGCTAATGACAAAGAAGACAAAGGGAAAATCCATAATCTGCAGTTTCAACAGTATCTGATCAGGCCAAGGCTGAATTTACATGAATGTTACGGAATTTGCCAATCAAAATGTCATAATTTTGATTAGAAAATGAAAAATAAATCGAGAGTGAGGAAAGGAACCTTTCTTTTGCATTCGAAGTGGCATGAGGGATCCTACGAAAAGCATCAACTAGCACCTAAATAAAAGATAAATGGCATAGTGTTGAACGGTACAAGTAAAAGCAATGTCCCAAGGCCAAGAAAGAAAGTGATGCAAGCAAGCATTTTACCTGGTTATAGTAAAATTTGGCAGCAATGTTTCCAGTGGCATGGAGAATCAATTTGACAGATAGCTTTGGAAATTCTTGTTCTTTGGAGCATTGATATACTGTTGGATAGAAATTGGTCACTCATGTGATAGCCAAAACAAAGAGATTGGTTTTTATGATATTAATGTTATCTTTAACTAAGCAGGTGCAAGCTTTCTTATTGTCATTTAGCTATTTGAACCAAATAAATGAGTTTCTAATTCTTACAATCCTTTCATTTCATTTTTTCCATCTTTATAATTTTCTGCAAGTATATATCAATTTAAAAGATCATATTGGAGTGACATAAATTTTTGCAGGAAGATTGTTATAATCTGAGTTGTAGTTTCAAAGTCAACAAATCATTTTTTCATATACTAGAGAATATTGTTATTTAAGCACTAAGAGATTGAGCTTCGGTAGCATCTGCCATTATTGTGGTTTCTTAATCCTTGATTTTAATTTTGGCCAAAAAAAATCCTTTGATATGGCATGTATTATCAAAGGACCCATGTGGAGAGGAGGAGAATGATGATGATAAATTACTAAATTAAACGGAAAAGCTCACTAATGCTATGGAACGTTTCTTATTATTTAAAAAATATTCATTATTATTTAAATACTTGAAAATTTCAAGTATTTTAAAAAATATTTTGTTCAAACGCGTTGTGCCACGTGCAAAGGTGAAAACTAGTATAATATAATTATATATGATAAAATTGAATAATTTATAAGTATACATTAATTAGAAAACTTGTAAACTTTATTAAAGTTTAATCTTTTTATCACAATTTATTTTTTGATTTAATTTGTTATTAGATCATATATATAAATTTTAATGTTTAAATTTTATTTTTAATTAAAAATTTAATTATAATTTTATTTTAAACAATAAATATGGACGGACTTGTGCGGGCCTTGGATGTGTTTAAGAATATGGGCGGGTCTTCGACAAAAACTGAGGCCCGTTCTTTAGGCTGGACCGGACTTGGACAAGCATATATTATACAAGTATTAATCAAAAGCCCGACCCGAATCCGGCACAGCCCGACCTATGAGCACCTCTACTTACCAAGTCGTCTATGTCATTTACATGGGTACATTGGTTATATTGATGGGTATTTGAGTTGGAGATGTATGATAACAATCCATCGAGATTACTTTAGAGTACTATTGTTATGGCCTAATGTCCAAATTGAGTCTAAATCTTTCTAAACTTCCTAAATTTGAGCCTAGATCTTTAAACAGGACCAAATTGGACCTAAACGTTAGCAAATTGAACCAAATTGAGCCTATTTTGGACGAAAATTTGGAATTGTAGGTAACGGCGCTTTCCAAATTTCCGTCCAAATAGGCCCAATTTGGTGCAATTTGCTAATATTTAGACCCAATTTGGTCCTGTTTAAAGGTTTAGACTCAAATTGAGTAAGTTTGTAAAGGTTTAGACCAAATTTGGATAGTCCCTATTGTTATTGCATTGGATTAATTGACATTTTGGTCCCTTGACACAAATTATCTCTTTCTCTTGAACTTCCAAAATGGTAAATTACACGTCTATAAAAAATGAACAAATTAGACCTTTTGGACCGAGGTTAGTTCAATTCTGTTAACAATTAGACAAAAATTAGCCATTTTTTTTTGGAAGTTGGTATGGGTCTTATAAATTCCGCCCGATTGTCAACGGGCCATGCCAATTCCCTTGTAAAAAGACTAATTTGTCCTTTTTTTTTTATAAGTTTAGACATGTAATTGACGATCTTAGAGGTTCAAGTGCTGAATTCTCCTTTACTTACAAGTTCAGAGTCAAAATATCTATTAATTCCCATTTCAATATTTTTTGAGTTATGAGTGTAGCTGAAATTAAAGATACTAAGTGATACTACTTTGCAATTATAGACAATTTCCCTTCTTAAGAGCAGACTTTTCTGTGCTTACTATAGTTGTTAAATCGAGATACATATCGTGTATCGAAATCCTATTTTTGAGTATCGAGTATCGGATGTCATGTCCTATCGTATCGTAAGATACGGTAAAATGATTTAATATAATATAAATATTATATATATACACATATAAAAAATACAAAATATTTGATATATTAATAATGTTGCATTGCACTCAATATGATTTAGTTTACATTTTCATTTTTCTTTGTTTAAATTTATAAATAATATGGAAAAAGAAAATAGGATCTATAAAATAAAGTAATATATTGGTTGAAGAAAAATTAATTTTTAGTTCCAGCCTACCCAGACCATGAGGTCTTGGGTTCAACTTCATGTAATGTGAGTTTGTTTGTAATTTATTTGTTTATTTGTTATGTAGGTGGTTTATGCTTGGACATAGAGATTTATTTACATTGTAATGGGGAAGGGGTTTGTTGGCTCATTGATTAGCGTTTCGGTAATGTGCTAATCATGTAGCGGTGTACGGATATTCCTGTGCGTTTGTAATCCCAATTTCTTCAAGAAATGAAAATGATTCTTATCTCAAAAAAAAGAAAAATTAATTTTTATAAAAAAATTGGTTTGATTTTTATTTTTAATTTATTTTTCAACAATTTAAAAATTAAAACCAAAAAGCCCATAAAAAAGGTTTTTATGTTTGAACATGAAAATTAAATAAAGTTGGGTTTGTACTTTGTATTATTGGACCTGGACCAAATTTTGAGTTGAAAAAAAAGCAAAAGCCCATTAAGCCTTAATTTAGCTTATTGGACCGTAACGGACGATACGTTAGCGATGCTATATGAATTGCGATACACCATATCGATCCGTATCGATTTTTATGTGTATGATATCGTATCGTATGATATGTATCACGTATCATATGATATTGATAACTGCGGTGCTGAGTAGTATTGTATGAAAATTGTTGCTTCAGACCCTTTTCTCCTTTTCTTTTGAGATCTTTACATGTGAATTGAGACATATATGCACTTTTTTTTTCTTTTTTTTTTTGGGTTAAAAACAAGCAGTAATTAACAACTAACTATTCCGAAAACCACGAGGAAAAGAAACTCCTCTCTCATCTGCTGACAATAATTGCTTCAAACCCTCGGGAGGATCAAAAAGTAGCTCAAAATCATCATCCAACTCGCATGCAGCATTCGCAAGCCAATCAACACAGAAGTTACCCTCTCTGTAGGTGTGTTGTAATTTGCAATTCCAATCTCTATTCAAGAGAAGTCTTATGTCAATGATGATACCAGCCAATGGATGAAACTCCACATTCCCATGTTCAATTAAATCAATTCCGATTCACAAAGTATTTGCCTGTAGCCACACTCCCAAGCAGTTTGTAATCCTCTTCGAATGGCACATAGTTCAGCTTCAACATTAGAACATATTCCCAAATGAAGTTTGAAACCCAATAGCCAAGAACCTGCTGCAGATCGAATTAATCCTCTAGCTCCGGCAATCCCCGGGTTTCCCTTAGTCGCGCCATCTACATTAAGCTTAACAATCCCATCATCAGGAGGAAACCATCGCACCGAGAGATCCACAGGTTTCAAAAGTTTCCCTTAGCCGGGTTTCCCTTACAAGGTTCTGCATAACCTCACCAGCCGAATGTAAAATAAGAGCCACAAGAGCACCTTCTTCCAAACCTATTTCACCATTCTTCATGACAAAATCACATCGTCTAGTCCAAAGTCTCCATAAAGTTACTATGAATATCACTCTCCATTCCACATCACCGTGTAACTCTGTAAAAAGTAAATTCGCATCTACCCATTCAAAAAATGATTCATTATCGGGCATTTTCCCTAATGCAACCCATACCTTATAAGCATGTGTGCAATCCCGTAAGGTATGCATGATTGATTTTTCTGTTACCCCACACAATCGGCAAAGAGCATCACCCAAGCCCCAAGAAGCCCGCAAGCTGTTTGTGAGCAAGCGACCCCGACGAACTAGCCATAGAAAATGTAACCATCGAGCCAGAGCCGGAAGTCGCCAAAACCATTTCCATCCACTATGCGCATCATCAACCTCCTCATCAATTGAGGCAAGATATGCCGATTGAGTATTAAAGACCCCATTTGCAGTATACTTCCATATTCTCCTATCTTTCACCTCCAACAATCGTGGTATTGGATAGCCAAGTATCTTTAGAGCTAAATCCAATGGAAGCTCTTGGAACAATTTATCTGAATCCCATCCTCCTTCGGTATGCCGATAGTCCCGAACAAAAACTTCTGTATCATTTACCTGTGAGTAAGAATCAATCACCTGCAAAATAGGTTCATTTAGCAACCAAGGATCAGTCCAAAATCTAACAAGAGAACCATTTCCAATACGCCATTTCAAGCCATGTTCAAGATAAGTGAGAGCTTTCATGATTCCTTTCCACGTATAAGACCAAGAAGCCGACGTTCCCTGCCTATTTCGTATAAAATTAAAAACATCATCCCTCACACGATATTTGGCTTTAATGAATTTAACCCAAAGACTGTCTTCTTCGGTGATAAACCTCCAAGCCGTTTTTTGCAGCAGCGCAATGTTATGAAGTTCCATGCGCCGCAAACCAAGCCCCCCCATTCTCTTTGGGCGACACACATCCTCCCAGGACACAAGATGCACACCCCGTTTCTGCTCATTACCACCCCATAAAAACCTGTTATTGAGGCTGTCCAAGGATCGAGTCACATTTTTAGGCAATGCCATAGTCATCATATTATAAGCTGGAATCGAAGTAGTAACGGAACTAATAAGAGTAGCACGACCAGCCAAACTTAAGAATCTCGATTTCCAACTAGATAGCATGCTTTGCACTTTCTCAATAATCTCCTTAAAAGTAGCCTTTGTAACTCTTCCATGAATGAGTGGAACACCCAAGTATTTTCCTAGATTATCCGACCCCGTGATCCCCAATAGAGAGCTCATGTCTCTCCCACTTCCACGAGCTTTTGGGGAGACAAATAACTTTGATTTTTCCAGGCTAATTTTCGCCCCCGAAGCCATGCAAAACTCATCAAGAACATGTTTAATCACCGTAGCCTGAGAGGGATCAGCCCGACTGAATAAGAAAAGATCATCAACGAAAAATAAATAGGAAATTCCCGGGCAATTCCTACCGGCTTTAATAGGTTTCCATGCACCAGTCCTGACTTCACGATCAATCAAATGACCTAGTCGTTCCATACAAAGAACAAAGAGATATGGTGAGGGTGGATCACCTTGTCTCAATCCACGCTGTGGTAGGAAAGAATCCAATTTTTCACCATTCCATAAAACAGCCATCTTCGAGCTCTCCACACAGAACATGATAAGACGAATCCATTTATCAGAAAAACCAAACTCTCGAAGTGTATCACGTAGAAAAGACCAATTGACCCTATCATATGCTTTTGCAAGATCAATTTTCACAGCCATTAGTCCATTCTTACTACTACAACGCCGGATAGTGTAAATTAGCTCTTGAGCAAGAAGAATATTGTCCGCTGCTTGCCTACCTGGGATAAAACTCACTTGGGTAGGTGCAATGAGATCCCCTAAATGAGGCCGAATCCTATTAACAAGGACTTTTGTGATAACTTTGTACGCAACACAACATAAACTAATGGGGCGAAACTGCTTGAGATACTCCGGATGTTGGACTTTCGGAATAAATACCAGCAAAGTTTCATTTAGTTCTTCGGGAAAGCAGCCATTGTCAAAAGCATCTCGTACTAACTGCCAAATAGAATCCTTGGTAGTTTTCCAAAAACTCTGAAAAAAACCCGCATGGAAACATCCCTACCAGGTGCTTTCCAAGGTTTCATTTGAAAGAGAGCCTGTTTAACCTCCTCCAAGGTAATGGGAGCATCTAGAGGCTGAAACTGCTCAGTAGCTAGGGTCGGGCACCCTACGTTAAGTTTCACCAAGTCAATCCCTGTATCTACAGAAAAAAGCTTAGAGAAAAAATTAGTGACCATGAATTTCAAAGTCTCCTGGGCCATGACCCAATCACCATTATCATCTTTGAGCATAGAAATTTTATTCCTCCGTCTACGACACACAGTAGACAAGTGGAAGAATTTGGTATTTTTCTCGCCCGCTTGATACCATTGCACTCTAGATTTTTGAAACCATAATAATTCTTCTTGTTCCAAAATCTTATTGTACTCCGACATTAGCTCTTGTTCCAAGTTCATCAAATAAGGAGAAGTTGATCTTGCTAAAGCCCTTTGGATACCCAAAACTCTTTTTCTCAACTCCTTCTTCCGTTCAAAAACATTCCCAAACACCTCCTTATTCCAAGTTCGTAAAGCCTCAGAAAGCAAACCAGATTTAATAATTAGGTCCCAGCAGAATTTTGCCAACAATTCGAAATAAAAGCATTAGCTTCAGTATGAGAAAGCCACATTGCCTGGAAACGAAAAGGTTTCTTGGAAGCATCAACCATAATCTCCTCTTTACATTGAACAAGGATTGGACAATGATCAGAATAAAACCGCGGTAGATGTTTAACAATTGCTTCAGGAAATCGAAGGCGCCATTCCACATTAGACAAAGCTCTATCCAATCGTTCATGTATGCGATGGCGACCTTGTCTTCGATTGGTCCAAGTATAAGTAGGACCCTGGAATCCAAGATCCAAAAGACCACAATTTGTCACCATGGTATTGAATCGCAAGCACCTATCAATAGAAGTAGTCGCCCCTCCAAACTTTTCTGAACTATTACTGATATCATTAAAATCACCCAGCATCATCCATGGGAGCCTAACAACCAAAGCAAACTCCTCCATTTGGTCCCATAACTTCTTGCGAACTGTAAGTAGTGGGCTTGCATATACTGCCGAAAGAAGCCATTCCGTTTCACCAGGCACCCTAACAATAGCATGTATGACTTGAGTTGAGGTGTACAAAATCTCTAGACTAACATGTTGCGCTTCCCAACAAATCCATAAGCCACCCGAAAAGCCTATTGGGTCAGCAATACGAAAATCTGAAAAACCAAGCCGTCTAACAGTATTGACTGCTCTTGCACCAGATATACGTGGCTCAACCACGATAAAAATATGAGGCCTATAAAGCCGTAAAAACTCTCTACTATTTCTGCGAAATTTCTTACTTCCCGCTCCTCTACTATTCCATAGTAGAATATTCATTAAGAAATTTGATTAGATTGTCCCAGATTTCCATGCTCTTCAGGTGAAGCAATATCATCAATCATCTTTTCAGAATCAAAACTAGTGTCAATATTCATACCACCATCCAAGTGTTGAGTTTCCGGAACAAAGGAAAGATTATCTGAATTCGGTGGGTCACGGTTCCTATAATCGGAAGACTTCATGGAAGATGGATGCTTAAAAGCATTTTTTGTACCATCCACCATAGAGTTCCCCAACCGCATTTGGCCATCAATGATCATGTCACCACAATCCAAAGCATCTACATCTACCACCTCAGTACTCGTCTCCCAGTTCCTTATGGGTCGAGTTGAAAAAGAACTAGACTCCTCATGCCCCAATTCAATAGCCTTATTCCCTTGTATAGTCGAACCATCAATACCCTCCACCATCCGAGTCTCCCTGCTCATCATATTTTCCTTGTCTTGGTTTTTGTTTTTTGGAACATGACCAGATTTACCACCTGATGTGCCACGAACTTTCCATGCCATATGTGTGCTCTGATGAGTTGTAGCCCCAAGGCCTAAGCCATCACCATCCTTAGTAATTGGGATCACAGAATCCTGTTCTGGTATATTGGCTAGTGCAGCAAACCTTGACCCAACAGCACCCACACCCTTCCCAGATGGGTGTCTTGTAGAATCTGTATTGTTCTTTCTTGTCAAGTTCCGTGATCATCGAGTTTGAGCAACCATCCAAGGGCCAAAAGTTGGCTCGGCCTCAGGAACCTGCTCCTCCACTTGATTACTATGAGTTCCTCCATTAACCTCTATGGCGTTAGCATGGGTTTCAGCATCCCCCTTACTATTAGTCTCTACTATTTGGGCTTTAAAATCACTACAATCTCGATGCTCAATATAGCCACAATGAAAACAGAAAAGAGGGAGACCCTCATACTCAACCCGAGTCCATCGATCATCAACCATCACATTTGGCACGAGTTTCTTATTTAGGTCGATCTCAACACACACTCGAGCAAACTTGCCCCTAAAAGCAAAATGAGTAGTTTTGTCAACCTTGATTGCTCTCCCTATTGTGTTTCCCAGAGCGAGCAAAAAACGCTCATCAAAATATTCAGTTGGTAATTCAGGGAACCGAATCCATGCTGCTGTGGAGTTGATAACAGCCTCCGATGGTCTAAAGTCAGGTCTCCATCGCCTTACAGTAAGATAGTGACCGAAAATAACCCAAGGACCTTCGGCCAAGGCAAACTGTAAATCCTCCTCCAAGCTAAATTTAGCAACAAAAAATCCTTCCCCCAAGTCAATAAGCTCTAGATGACCTCTTGGCTTCCACATGTTTGTTACTCTGGTTTGTAGCGTCTTATAACCAATGTTTCTGCCTAATAGTTTAACAATCAAACAATTGCGCCACTTAAAGTGGAGGAATTGCTTCATCTTAGGGGAAGTTCTGAGAGCAGGCCACGAATCAACTGTGGAGACTTCAATCAGCCCTTCATTCTCAGTCAAAACACCAAAGATATCTTCTTCATCAAAAGTTTTAGCCCGGGAATCTCCTCGAACCATATCTCTGAAAGAAGGGGCAGTAGACTCTGTTTGTCTAGGGGAACGCACCTCAGCATCTAAATTCGCATTCGCCATGGAATTACATTTATCACCACCATCACCGTTATCATTAGCCCCTCCATCCGATTCAAAAGCATCACTGGGAATAGATCCAAAATCATCCTGGTTTTCATCCATAACATGATCGAAATCCTCTACAAAATTGACCTTGGCAGATTTAATTTTCTTAGTGCTACGGGCAAGGAGATCTTCCTCCTCCCCGGAGCGTTCACGTTGAGTCTCCATCAGCGGTGGCTTAGAAAAAGGGGAAGCTAAATTTACGGGCAATAGGGTTTCGGATGTTCTTTCTTAGAACTTTCGTCTTAGCCCTTTTGCCCACTTTTTTTTTCCATGTAGCTATGTTTTAGTTGAAAGTTATGTCATCAGTTTTGTTAGAGATTGACCCCTTTTGTTTTAAAGATAAATGGTTTCCGGAGATGGATGTTTATTCATTTGGTGTCATGATCTTGTTGGCTTGATTGCCAAAAAGGTCTTCATAGAGGAAGACCGTTCAATTCTAATTGGACTTTGTCATGACTCTCTTGTCAATTGGTGGACCATTAAAGAGTACGTAATGAAAGTCGGAATCTGGAGAAAATGTTTCCCTGGTACATGAAAATTTGGCGACAGATTGAGATTTTGAATTTGCTGATGGAATTGAAGTTACAAACTTGGCGATGGAATGTCTGGAGCTTTCAGCTCGGGATCGGATTTTAATAGATGAATTAATAGAGGAGTTGCTTAAACTCTACATTGTGCGGGATACATTGACCCTTTGGACTTCTCATATAAAAACATCAGTCAGCCATCCTAGTTGAATTTTTTTTATTCGTGATGTAAATTATGAATGTATATGCAACTATTGATAATCGATTTATATATATGCTCTCAAAAAAAACTTTATAGAAAAATCTATAATATGCTAAGTGTATATGTGTGATAAAATGAAACTCAAAAAGAATAATTTTGCATCCTAAATTTTGTATGGATTGAATATTTTGCAAGGTTTATTTTGATTTTTATGTATCTTAATATTTTATTTTGGGTAAAATCTTTTGTAATCGAATATTTGTTAAATCTATGACGGCATCGTTACGATGCTGATGTAACATGCCACATTAGATGAAAGTTGCCACTTGATATGTCGCGTCATCATAAAATGAAAAGGAAATGAGAGAAAATTTGCCACACCATGTCACGTGACGTTTTCATCCGACGTGGCATGCTACATCAGCATTGTAACGTCGCCTCATCGAACATTATGCAAGGTGTAACATGTGTCTAAAATAAAACTTCAGGATGCGACAAGATCAAAATAAACCTTTTGGGGTGTAAAAAGGTAAACTTTAGGCTGCAAAATGGTAGTTATGCCAATTTTAAATTATTGACATATTATACTCCATATATATATTGAGAGAGAAAGACAGAATTCAAATTTTTGATTAATATAGCCGGTAAACAAATCTAAAAGGTCAGAGTACAATCAAACGACAAAATTTGATGATCTTGAGACATCAAACTTAGCCATAGCAAGAAATTTGCTTCTCTAAAAACATATAGGTCAAACAAACAAATAGATATATCTCTATATATAAATAGATACTATAAAACAAAATAACTATCAACCCAATTTTTAAACAAATTATAAAAAGTACAATAGTAAAATAGCAAGCGTTCAAGATGATGATCATATCCTTCAAAAAAATAAAAGTTGAAAAAAAGAGGCATGCATATACCAATACACACTCCAATTAGGTAATGATTTCAATCATCGTAAATCTAAAAGGTCAGTTTGGTTTTTTATAATCTTCCCAGACATTCTATTATTGCTTGGATGGTTATTTTAAATGGTTTACCTACCAAGGATCGTTTAAGCGCAAGTGGAATATTCATTTGGACTCTATGGATTGTGTGCTTTGTGGTCAATATTTGGAGTGTCGAGATCATGTTTTCTTTTCTTATGAGTATTCAAAGAAACTATGGGAGAAAATACTCAGAACTTGTGCTTTGACAAGGACTATAGGTGATTGGCAAACTGACTTCCATTGGGCTGTATTGAAACTTAAAGGGAAGTTACTTATCTCTTTAGTTTTGAAACTAGCATGGAATGCCTATTGCTATGCATTATGGAGGGAACACAATGCGCGTATATTTCAGAAGAAGATGCATACAGTTGAGCAGTCTTTCCAAGTCATTGCTGAGTTTATTAGATTTGGTTTGTCTGGTCTAATATTGCTAAGGATTCAGTCAATGTTTCTATTTGTAACAGTTGGAACTTACAGTTAGCTTGGTAGTTATTCTTTGTAAACAACTTAAATATCTTGTACTAGTTTTATAGTAGTTCTTTTTCCTGCTATTGGATGAATGAATACACATATTTATCCAAAAAAAAAAAAGGTCAGAGTCCAATCAAACGACAAAATTTGATGATCTTAAGACATCAAGCTTAGCCATAACAAGGAATTTGCTTCTCTAAAAACATATAGGTCAAACAAACAAATAGATATATCTCTATATATAAATAGATACTATAAAACAAAATAATTATCAACCCAATTTTCAAACAAAATATAAAAAGTACAATAGTAAAATAGCAAGCGTTCAAGATGATGATCATATCCTTCAAAAAAATAAAAGTTGAAAAGAAGAGGCATGCATATACCAATACACACTCCAATCAGGTAATGATTTCAATCATCGTAAATTTCTAATTTGGATGGTTTTGATGTTTAAAGCTAGCTTCAAAATCTCATCATCATTCTTATCATAGCCCGTGCACAAGTAAACATCTAAACAGACAAGTTGCTCTCATCCTTGCAATATTGTCACTAAATTCTGTCTTTTGATATCTACTTGAGTAAGAAACAAGTGTGTAATCTTTGGGAGTAAATTGACAATTGCCAAAGCCTCATTTTCATCAATCTTGGCATCTGAGATGCTCAATCTCTTAAAGTTGTGACAGTTGAGGCTGACTTGGGCAAGGACTTCCTTCAAATCCAAATCCTTGAAAAATGCTCCAACATAGTTCAAGTGCACCAAATTCTTGGACCTCCCTATGTGTAGAGACCCGGCCCAACCTGCGAGATATTGTCCGTTTTGGCCCAAAGGCCTCACGGATTTGCCCTTCCCAAAAGGCACCTTATAAGTTTGGGTTGGATCTCTATATTTTAAACCACAATAAATCACCACATCCTCCTGATGTGGGATCTTGGGGCGTCACAATCTACCCCCTTATAGGCTTGTCGTCCCCGACAAGCCCACACAACACAATCACCAGGACCCACCGGGCGTCGGAATTCTAGAGGTGGCTCCCACGGTGTAGCACTTAGCTCCCGCTACACGCCCGATTAAAGCTCTGATACCAACTGTAGAGACTCGGCCCAACCTGCGAGGTATTGTCCGCTTTGATCCAAATGCCTCATGGATTTGCCCTTCCCAAAAGGCGCCTCACAAGTTTTGGTTGGATCTCTATATTTTAAACCACAATAGATCACCACATCCTCCTGATGTGGGATCTTGGGGCGTCACACTATGAGTTCTTGAATAATTAGAGATTGTTCGGAGCATAATTTCTGAGGTAGTCTCAGCGTTTGTAAGGCAACACATCTAGAAAGGAAAATTGTTGTTTTGAATAATTTGTTAGGAAATCCCAAAATTCACACACAAAGGCAAAATTAATTTCATAATGTAATGTAGAATTAATAAGAGTAATTAAACATTAATTTAAAAGGCAGCTAAAGTGTTTGATGATTAAAGGTAAACTTACTTGTGTGCAATATACTTCAATGCCTCTTCTGAACAATCTTTTGGGAGATCAAGTGTGGTAGCATCTCCTTGACTTCGATCAACAACCAACTTTATGAACGCAGTGGCGTTGTCGAATACAGGATGAAAATAATAACACATCCATAATGGAAAATTAAGAGTCTTGCAACAAAGGCTAGCTTTGTACCATGACTTGCATACAAAAGCTACTTTCCATTTATATAGGTGCAGAATGCCCACTCTTTCAAGGACATTGATCAAACAATCTATTGGCAGGGCTTCCCACTTTGGTTGCTGCTTTTTCATATATATACCTGTTATATATATTTTTATAAAATATATCCCCTTAAATATATTTGCTAAAGCCAAATAATCAGCTTATCGAATCACACAGAAAATTAAATCCGTTCTTGTCCCAAACAATTTTTTTTTTTTTAAATAAACTAGAACCTACGTCTCTGATTCAACCTTTGTTCTCTTTCGAGCTTTTAGTACAATTCTAGGATTTCAACGGATGTTTCAAAACATGAAAACCAGTTACCAGAATATAATTAATATTTATGCAAATTGAAACAGCATAAGAAATCTGATGCTAATGAATGATATATAAGAAAACAATTGAAAACAAAGTTCAAGAAAATATTCGAAGAAATTACCTGTGGGTAGGAAGTCCTCTGGAGAAAAAGTTATAAAAGGACCGATATCGAGTTAAAACTCCTAATTAAATTAAGTCTTAATTTTTGACGACTTTTTTCCTTGACATATAAGTTATATGTTTTTCAATAGAACCGAACAATTTATTTTTGGGGAGAATAATAAAACCTCATGGGGTGGCACGGTCATCAGCCCCAGATCTCCTTAAAAATTGCATTTTTCTTATATCGTCATCAAAATACGGTATATTATCGTCTATTTCCGGATTTCTCGGGTTATTCTACGTTCGTGATAGCTTCAAGATTTCAGAGAATTTGAAATCTTAGAAAATGAAACAAATGGGAAAAGTGCAAAAAGGGAACGGTGTTTAGCAACACCCAAAAAAGCCTATGCAATTACTTACATCTAAATGGACAAGTTGCTTGCAACATTGCAATATTGTCACTAAACTCTCTTTTTCGATATATGCTTTTGGAAGAAATAGGTGAGTAATATTTGGAAGGAAAGTGGCAATTGCCAAAGCCTCATCTTCTTCAATTGAAGCATCCGAGAAGCCTAACCTCATAAAGTTCTTGCAGTTGAGGCTGATTTGGGCAACAACTTCCTTCAAATTAATGGAACTCCCGAGCTTCAAGTGCACCAAATTCTTGTTCTTCCCTATGAGTTCTTGAATAATGAGTGACTGTTCATGTTCAAAGTCAGATCCACGAGATTCCATAATAAGTGTCTGTTCAAAGCAAAATTTGGGATAACTCCTATTGAGTGACTGAAAATGATGTCAAGCCTATCCAGGAGATTCCATAATCTGCGAGGTATTTCCAATATTT